TTCTATTGACTGCTCTTTTGCATGATCTATTTGTTGTTTTTTTTTTATAGTAATTTATATTATTCTGGGTTCTTTTCATAATAATGTTTACTTTGCATTTTTCATTATAGATGCTGTGGTGACTAGATTTTTGTCATCTTTAGAGAGTGTTGAATTTTTTTACAATAGGCAATTAAACTACTGGCTGGTTATCTTGAACTTCTGGAGTTTTGATTTTTGTGCTTTGTTAATAAAGATCTATTTCAATCTTAATTAAATTTTTTTGTTATTTATAGTTTAGAAAAGTTTCTTTCAGCTTAAAAATCTGCAATTGTTAGTATCATATGAGATGTTAAGATTGTCAAATTTGGAATAAATCTTTAATAATTTTCTTTCATATATGAGCTGTAAGATTTCGGATGTATCTATTATATATGTGGATAAATCTTCAATACTCTTTCATTTTTTAACTGGTTTCTCATGAGTTTTATATCATCTGCATCAACGTTAGTATTTCACATCAAATCAGGAAAAAACATTAACAATTTTTTCAAGGTGACTGGAGTTCTTGAGAAGACAAATCTGAAGCAGCCCCTGCCATCTTGGTGAGCTGCATTGTCTCTGAACCTGCTTCCTCAGAATATGGCCCCCATCTTCCTTTCCAGCCCCTCCCTCTGTGCTGGCCACAGTTCCATCTGAATTCCCCTAAGTGTCCTGCTCTTTCTTTCCTCCCTGGCTTTTCAGCTGTTGTGCATTTCTCCCTGGAGTGCAGTTTTGTTATTCTCCTGAACTGCTCACACCTCCTCTAGTTGTTCTTCCCCTCTGCATCCAGGGCAGTCCATGTCCATGTAACAGAGGGATCCTCTCAAAACACACTCTGAACGTGTCACCTCTCTGCTTAAATCCTTTAAAGCCTTCATCGGTATTTGGATGATGACCAAACTCTTTACATGGCCCTCCAGGCTCTGCATGGTCTGCCTATTTCTCTATCTTTATTAGGAGACACTTAGGAGCTCGAAGCCTAGGATTGATGGATATGGATTGAGGTGGCAAGGGATGAGTCAGGATGACAGATTTCTGGTTGGGCGGACTTAGGGAAGTGCCTTGGTTTCTTAACCTCTAACATCTCAAAGGAAGGCATCAGTCGGCTGCAAATCTTTTCATGAGTGGAATGTTGAAAATTCATCATTCACTCCTCAGCTCACTCCCTCTCACTTCAGTTTGACATTCAACTACCGGGCCAGCCAAGCAGAAGCTTGGGTTTGAGCACTAGCTTTATCTTGATATGTCCTTGACATCCACACTTCCCCTGTTAGAGCTGTATTTTCTCACATGTAAAGCAGGAATTATATTTCCTTTTCTCTTTTTTAATATAATAAATTATTATTATTATTAGTAGTAGTAATAGTACCAGGAGTTGAACCCAAGGGTGCTTGCTTAACCACTGAGCCACATCCTCAGCCCTTGTTTTTAACTTTTTTATTTTGAGACAGGATCTCACTAGGTTGCTTACAGCCTCCCTAAATTGCTGAGGCTGGCTTTGGACCTGTGATCCTTCTGCCTCAGGCTCCCAAGTCACTGGGATTACAGGTATGTGCCAGTGCTCCCTGCTAACATAAGAAATTATTATTGCAAGTGGTAAATTTCAGGTATGTGACAGCTGGGCCGTAGCTTGAGATGACCATCTCCTCTGAGCCTCAGTTGTAGAAGTCATTTGCCTTTTTGGAAAATCACTCTGGTGTTTGGACAGAAGATGCACTGCAAGTGGGTTGGGATAGGAAGGACAGAACTCTTTTATCCTCTCAACCATAACTTCTCTTGGAGAAATTCATGGAAAGGTGGCCTACATGGACTATGGAACAGACTCTGCCCCAAACCTCTGAGTCAGCTTTGATCCTCCTATCCACAGCTGGTCCCTCAGCAGGTATTGGTGATTCTGTCCACAAATACACCTAGGAGCACTTTACCATCTTTGTTTCTGCTGCACCCACCCTAGGCCAAACCAATCATTGTGGCTACTGTACTAATGAGATGCCAGCCTCTGCTTTTCTCTAGTGCCAAGTCATCCTCATCCAACAAGGCCAGTGTGACCTTAAACAATGTAAAGTTGATACTGCTATTCATTGGCTTAAACCTTCTCCCTGAACTCGCTGCCCCAAACTTTTCACTTCTGACCTCAATCCCTAAATGATCTGACTCCTGCCTGCCCCACTTGGCCACTTCTCCCTGATGTATCAAAACCCAGGCACACTGTCCTGGTTCCTGTAATTCTGTGGTTGCTGATCCTTCTGCCTGGGCAAGTCTCCTGGGGCATGCCCCTCACATTACTGGTTTCTGGTCTGTAGGTCTCAACCCAAAGGTCACCTCCTTGGAAGGCCTTTTCAGTGTACACTTGTCCCTATCACTCTCTTTCATTACTGTATTATTCATTCCCAATATGTATAGTCCCTTGAAATTAAATTGTTGACACATAATTTTTCTCAATATTATTACTTTTACATTTTTATTAATTTTGATATAGGAAGAATACATAAATATGTTTTCCATAGATCCTGACAGGTAAAGCAAAGTCCCCTCTTAAATAACCCCTTTTCCCCTGTCCTAGATTTCTTCCTCGAATGAAAGCTGTTTTGTCCTGTTTTCTACTGACTCATAAATTTCTAAGACCACGAGTTGCACATTCAATAAACAGCTATTGAATAAACATTAAATCAAGGGTCAAATTCTGGCTCTACTCTGTATTAGCTTCCCTTTGGAGACTGCTAGAGGAAGGGAGGTTAGAGGCCAAGGTCAAGAGGAAGCAATGAATGTAGGCAAACTACTTAGCTTCTGAGTATCAGTTTATTCATTTATATAGAAAAGGAAAGAGTATTAATTCTCAAAGAACTGTGAGAATCAAGTTGTGCCAGGCACACCCCAAACACCCTCACGAGGTTTATAGGCTAGTGGGGATGTATTTGACATCCTGCATGTTGACTCCACAGTCTACCAATCTGTTCAGTGTCCATAAATGCTAGAGCCACACTCTCCAAACTGGGCTGGAAAGAGCTCTGTGGGGGTGGGGGCTAACCTGAAACCATCTGGTGCATCTTTCTGGACTGTTTGTTTTACTTGGAAGTAATTTAAAACATTATTTGTTATAGTAAAATAAACACAAATACTTATTGAGTAGAATGAAGAATTTGCCTGAATTTTAAAATTCAGGTGCTTTGGACATCAGCACCAGTGGAGATCATCTGCTTTGGTGGAAACTGTTTTATAGGTGGGGAAGCTGTGATATGGCAAATGGCAGGACCAGGCCTCTCCATCCTGGTCAGGGGCCTTTCTGGCTTACAAAGGGAGTCTCCTGCCATCAAGGAGGACTTTAGTTTGCTCCTCTCCCAGAAGCCCTGTAGGAACAGCAGGTGGCTTCCTCTCCTTCTCCTCTGGGGTAGGGATGGAGCCCAGAGGTTAAGAAGGGACACAATCAGGTTCTGGGCTTTAATCCATTTTTTCCTGGCTCCTAATGTTGCCCAGACATGGACCACCCTGCCAGCCCATCAGCCTCTACTCCCCAACATCTGGACATAATTATAGTAATTATACTGGGATATCATTACCAACTCTATCTAAACTGTATAAACAATACATTCTATATAAACAGCATAGGTGACTGCTTTTGAGCATAATTACAAGAGATGTTTGCAGACCCACAATTGCATCTTAGTAAAAGATAGCCTCTCTTCCTCCCATTAATACTACAATATTAGGGACCTATCAGGGTGAATTAGCCAAATTCCAGGGGTGACGGATGAGAAAGACCTCCCACTACCCGCACAGCAAGAAGGGACCTCCGGCAAAGCTGAGTCCCTCAAAGAGCCAAAAGAAAAATGGATTAAGGCCCAGAACCCTACAGCCCCTTCTCCTCTGGACTCCACCCTCACTCCTACTGGAGAAGGAGAGAAAGCTCTCTCTGCTGTTCCTGCAGGGGTCAGGGATCTTGAGAGGAGCCAGGATTTCCAAAGACCAAGAAAACTGCAGAGAAGGGTGGGCTAACCTCTGCTGGCAGCTGCTGTATGCGAGTCCCAGCTGAGACCCGCAAACTCAAGCGAGTCCAAGCGAGACCTTTCCACCTATCAACAAGTCAGTGGGCTGAAATCACTTTACAGGTATGGAAATCGGTTCTAAGAGGGCTGGTATCCAGGGTCCCAGTAGCAGGCCGTGGAGCTGGGCCTTGGCGCTTTCCATGATGTGACCCTGCCAAGCCACACGCACAGGCCGGCAACAGACCAGCTCTTTGCCCCCTTGCTTATCTCCTTCTCACAGCTTCCTCTTTCTGGCTGCCACCGACTGTCCCTGCTGGCCTCCGGTACCCCTCCACCCCCACCAATTCCCTAACGTCAGCGCCGTCTGCGGCCCCTCCACCTCCTCTTCCTGTCCCTGTTGGGTGGTTAAGTGTTATCTCTCTAGAAGGGCGGGGGTGGGGATGGGGAGGGTGGAGCGTGGGGCGAAGGCCTTGCTAGGCATCCGGAGACTCCCACTGTCCCAGCGCAGGGGTGCCGCCGGGAGCTCGGCAGCTCAGCCTCAATTCCCGGACCCCGGCTTCCACCCACCCGAACACACAAAGGCTGCCCAGGCGTGCACAGGAGAACGCGCTCGCACCCACGGCGGTGCGCACACACACGCACAACTGCACAAAGACGTGCACACCCTCCCATCCACACAAATACACTCCTGACAGGCCCGCGCACAGCCGTGCATCCGCACCTACACACTGGCGTGCGCACACGTCCCCCTCGGTGTGAGAGAGGGGCACGAACTCGGGTAGACCCCCGCCCCCAACAGAGAGCTCTCGGCCTGGAGGCTTCCCACCGGCTCCCTGGGCTCTGCTGGGAGGCGCGCGCACACGCAGACACGCACACAGAGACAGGCACACGCGCGCACACCCGCACGGCTCCACGCCCCTGGCCGCTGCCCGGGAGCTGTGCTGCGCGGCAGGCGGCTGGCGGGCGGGGACCCGGGGCGGGGGCGGCGGCGGCGGCAGGGAGAGCGAAGGAGGCGGAGCGGGGAGCCCGGAGCGGGCTGGCCAGCGCTCCTCCTGCCGGCCGGGGATTTTCCAGACTGGGCGCTGACGCCGCGGACCTCCCTGCGGCCACCGCGGACCATGGGCGACAAAGGGACTCGGTGAGTGCGGGCGGCCACCCGGCCCCGCGCGCGTGGGGGCGAGCTAGGCGAGAGCATGGGCGGGGGTTGCAGCCTGCGTTCGCGGTCACCCGAGGACCTGGTACCCGGCTGTCCACCGCAGGTCTCCTGTGTGGTCGCTGGCAGAAGCTGGGGGGCGGGGGTACTTAGAGGCCAAAGACAGGGCCACCCATCTGGCTTGTGGCCGCTGACCAGAGACGCACACAGACTCACTGACACCCAGCACTGGCCGGCAGACGCAGAGACTCCTGGGGCAGGCTGACACACAAAACACATGCTCATATGGACACACAGACACACTCATGATAGCACACACACTGACAGCCACTGACACACACTCTTCACATACAGTGACAGGATGTCACACACACTCCCTGGCACACATTTGCCTGCTGACACATTCCTACTGACAGCCCTGTTGGCATATGCAGGTCACACTGCAACACACACCAACTCTAACACACCCTCATGATGGCATACACATGTGCTGCACACTGATGCACACATACACTGTCACTTGGACTCTGTAACATTCCGGCTGGCATGCACACATTGTCACCCTCACATGACACTGACATGACATGAGGCTGGCATATGTCTCACCATCACAGAGGAAGGCCAGTGCTGACCCCCACAGAGGCACATCAGACTGATGTCTGCTGGGACTAAGCACCCAACAGGAGGGAGCTGCCAGACCTGGGGCTACTGACACCCTTATACCAGTACCCAGATGACAGGAGTGGAGGCAGCCCCTCTAGAGTCTGGGAAGGCAGGTTCCCATCCACTCTGGTTCCTTTCCCTGTGACCTCCTGAGGCCTGGGGGTTGGGGGGGGTGTTGGCAAGGGGCTGTTTTAAGAACAGAGGGGGGGGGGGGTTTCCTGTGTCTTAGGGCCTGCTCTGAAAGTCACAGAAAGGGATAGATGTACCTCTGAAATGGGAAACTGGGACAAAAGAGGCAGGGGGCTGGGCAGGGCAGCCTCTGGGGTCAGCCCTTCTGAAGGAGACAGCTTGGCTGACCTCCTGCACTGTCACCCTCCCCACCCCTGGAAGTCCCGCAAGCAGCCTCTCCTGCGCTCCTCTGCTCATCCTTTCTGCACCTGCTCTTTTTTGTTACTTTCTTTCTTTACCGTATTCTATTCTCCTGTCCCATTTCTCCCTTCCATCTTTCTATCTCCCCCTCCTTGCTTCCAACATTTATTTATTGAGCTCCTGCTGTGTACTAGGCGTAGTGTGGGGGATCAAATTCGCGCCTCCCCTGAAAGAACAACAGACCAAAGAGAAACCGCCCACTGTGGTCATCACATTTTGAGGCCCCGACAAAGTGATTCCTCACCCACTGCCGCCTGATACTCAAAGGTCCTCCAGAGATTATTCCCATTTTCTAGGTGAGGAAACTGAGGCTCAGAGGTAACTTAGACTCTTACTGTTGAGAAACTGCTTCTCAGCCATCCTCTTCCAGTAGGTTCATTTTCTTCTTCCTGTTTTCCCAAAGAGGAACCAGAGGGTTAAAGAGGTCACCTGACTTGTTTAAGGTCAAGAGGGGGTTGGAGGCAGGGCAGAGGCCAGAGCCCACTTGGTTCCTGTCTCTGTGGCTCTCCTTTGGGTACTGTCAAGCCCTTCAAGGGCCCCAAGTGTGTGGGTGGGGCAAGGTGCCCGCTCTGTGCTGGAGGCTCAGCCTTGGGGAGACTGCAGAAGATCATGAGGTGTCTGCATTCACCTTGACAGTTAGTCCCCATTGCAGCCACTGGCCAGCACCGCGATCCAGGTCTCTGTCTTAGCAGGAGGGTGTGTGACTCCCTTCTCCAACACGTCAGTGTCCCCCAGAACCAAGACCCCCCTGGCCTGTGAGGTCAGGTTCTTTCCCTGCAGGGCACAGCAGGCAGCCTGAGCCATTGCTCTTCTCCTTTGTTCTGTGCTGCTTGGCAATCAGGGTGACTCAGCCCCTCTTGGGCCTCTCTCTGCTGCTCTGTGACTTGGGGAGAAGTGTCATTGCTCCCCTGCTGGCATGAGTTGTCAGCAGGATGAGGACATCATGTGCTGCCAGGCACCTGTTGGAGACCCTGTCTCTGGGGTCAGGGCTTTTTCCTTGACTCCCCCTGCTCTGCCTCAAACTCACTGTTGGACCTTGGGGATGTTGGGCAATTGCCTTTCTCTTCTGACCTTAGTTTTTCCATCTGTAAATGGGAACTATCAATATTGACATTTTCCATGGTTCTTCCTGTGTTTACTGAATTCGCTGGGCATGGGAGGAGGTGCTGCCTATAGCCTAGAGACAGGTCTGACTAACTATCCCGCTGGTGGCTCTGCATGCCCTCCTCAGCCTCCCTAGCAGCCCCATGAGGTCTCCCTCTCCCTTTCCAGACAGGTTCTATATAATTGGGAAGAGAAAGGCAATCTCACTAATGGACCATGTCTTGTTCTGAAGCCACGAGATTCTACTTGATTAATTGAAAGAGGAAACTGCAAATATCCAATACACTAAGCATCAGGCGTCATGACATCTATCTCTCCATCTGGGGGTCCAGAAATCAATGAGTCCACTCTGTTTCTATCCCTTACTAATTTCTAATGACAACATCATGGATAGAAACATCATGCATCATCTTACTGGATTCTCCCCATGATCTAGAGTAAAGCAGGTGATTATAATGCAGGGTGACATGTGCTTTGAAAGGCCTGGGGAGGAGTCCCCAATCCAGTCCTGGGCCCGGGGCATGGGAAGGAGCTGGCATTGGAGTTCCTGAGTGTCATCTGGAAGGATAAGGAGGCCACGGGTGCAGGACTGGTGACATCTTGCCTGACCAAAGGTGCAGAATGCGCAGAGGCTTAGAGGCATGAAGCACTGCGAAAGGCCTAGGAGTGGGTTGGGGATGAAGGGTGAGCCTTAGGGGGTGAATGAGGACAGTCTGCCAGCCTGGGAATGGCAAGAGACAAGATTTTTCTCTTGAAGACTTTGGTGATTCAGGCAGGGGTGTGTGGGGTGGGGTGGGCTGGAGCTGATTTTCCTTTCAGAGAAGTGCCTCTGGCAGTGGCCAAGAGTGTAGATGGGAGGCAGGGAGGCCCATAGGGGGTTCCCTGAGAACTAAGGCTTTGAACTCAGAACTACAGCTCTAGAGAGGATGGAGGGGAGAAATAGAGTACCAATGAGGAAGTAGAGTCTGTCGGACTTGCTGGTTTGTTGGACCTTCTTGCTGAGTGACTGGTATGTGCTAGAATTATGTGCATCATCTTATTGGATTCTCCCCATGATCTAGAAATGTAGGGATTGTTGCTCTCTTTATGCAGTTAAGGAAACGGACTAGGAGAGAGTAAGTAATTTGTCTACTGCCATGTAGCCAGCAAGCATCTGAGCCAAGGCCTGCCCACAAAGCCCTTTTGGCTACTTTCTAGTTCCACTCAGAGCAAGGGGAGTTTGTTTGGCTCATAGTTGGCCTCCCCAGCAGTGCCTTGCCTCAAGTATCCCTTTTGGGTCTTACTGTTCTTACTAATTTCTAATGACAACATCATGGATCAAATTTAGACAACAGGAGGGACTTCCTGAGAGTCAATGGGGTGGAATAGAATTTCCTTTCCTGCTGATGTTTATGAATTATTTTTTCTAGGAGAGGAGGGTGGTTGTGATGGGAAAGTGTAATCACCAGCTCTCCGTGAACCTTGGCTGTCATTTCTCTTGGTGGTTAAGCCCTGCGTGACCTATCTTGGCTGGGACATGGGGAAGTCCTGTGGCTTTGGCCAGGACTGCTCCTGGGACTGCTGGACATGGTAATTGCGAGCTGGCCCACTGTCTCTGAATCCAGGCTGACCTCTGGGCTTCCGATGTCTCCAGCTGCTCTCTCCCTTCCACGTGTGGGCCTCCTCACCTGGGGCTGAGGCTTCTCATTGGCATGGGCACAGGGGTCCTGAGTTGTCGGCTGCCAACTCCAGGTCTTTTGGTACCTCAAGCTGTGGCAATGGAAGAACAAGATACTGGGAGTCAGCACACCCCAAAGGGCTGCCAAGCCATCTACTGCTACCAGAGCGGCTGTGCATCTAGCTGAGCCCCGTGGAGGGTGCACATGCAGCAGTGTGACAAGGGAGCAGGACTGCTGGCCACAGGCTGGCAGTGAGGAAGGTGTAGGGAGGCCTCTGCATAGATGGGACCTGGATCCTGGTGGGAAGCAGGAATTTGGAAGTCTTGAGAGTAGAGTCGTGGGCCGTTACCTTGGGGAGTTTGGATAACAGGGTGTGGCGAGGCGGAGAGGATGCTCAGGGTCAGCGGGGCCGTGGAAAGAGTCAGGATACAGAGCAGCTGGGTCCTAGGGCCCAAGAGACTGGGAAGGACCCACAGAGGTGGGGCTGCAGCAAGACCCCATGCTTAGCCAGAAGGCAGTGGAAGGTGACCTGGGATTTGGGTGGAGTGGGGAAGCACAGTCGAGCCACGGAGGCAGAGGGAAAAGTGGCGGACCCTGCTTTCCCACATGCCTCGAGTATGCCCTGGGCTGGGAGTCAGAGGGGGCTGTGGTCATGGGGCCCGGGTGGCCCTATCCACCCGGCCCCTCTGCCTTGTGTCCAAAGGCAGAAGATCACTGCCCTGCACTATCCTTTCAGAACCAGGCTGCGGGGTGGAGGAGCCTGGGTGGAGTATGAGCTGGCCTCAGGGGAGACATGTATTGTGCTGGCTCTTGAAAGGAGGGTCCTCTGACTCAGGCTGGGGCCCTTGGGGAGGCTTCCTAGAGCAGGTGACCTTAGATGGGTGCCAGAGCATGAGGAAGGTTTGGGCAGGGGCAGAGTGTTCTGGACAGAAGGAAGAGCCTCTGCCAAGGTGCAGACACTGAGAGAGTGAGGTGCCAGGCCGCAGAGGAGGTGGCAGCCCTGGCCAGCAAGCCTTGGGTACTGGAACAGTCAGGGGTCATGGTACTTTTTCCTTCATTCATACCTTATGTGTCTTCATTACTCCATTGGTGTGCTTTATTATTATTATTGTTGTTGTTGTTGTTTTGGTA